ATAACAGGAATCAAACCACCAACCTTACAGTTGGGGAAACCACCTCTCTACCTCTTAAACAACAGCCGCCCGTATCTGCTGTTTGGTCATGGGCAGGTAGCTTATAGTGGCTTTATCAGAGCTTTTTAAATGAAAAAAACTTTACAGTAAGTACCAACAGCATCTTCTATGTGTGTGTGTGTGTGTGTGTTACAATGTTTTATTTAAAAGATTACACATTAAGGAATGAATTTTCATTTTTATCCAGGCCCGGATCTAGCATGGCACTAGGGTGGGCTTTGCCCCCACAAACCAGAGCTCTACCCCAGGACACACACACAGAAACACACAACTGCACTTCAGACAGCAGCAATACAGAAACGTGTGACTGAGCTCATCAACAGAAGATAAATACACCTCTCTTCCAGTCTTTCTTCTGGACTCTGATTGGCTTGTCAGGTGGAATAAAAGTCAAGCAATAGCCAGATATTTTGTCACTTGCAGCAGCAATGGTTGTGGTATTATGTTAGAGTGAAATGTAGAGTAGGTTAGTTTCGACTTTAGCTCTGGACATACTCCTGGGATATCTTTTTTTATCACTTCAGTTTTTTTTCTTATCCTCCACAGGTTTATCTGCTTATGATCTGTGTAACAAAGTCTGTGCAGTGCAGCGTTAGTGTTTGTTTGTGTGTGCGTGTGTGTACATGCGTGGCAGCACAATTTGTTTGGCTAACGTTACTAGTTTAGTGTGCTTGTTAGATTACACTACTAGCTCGTTATACATCAATTTTTGGTTCACAAAACAGGGACTGCCCCTGACTTAAATGGTAGTAGAAGCCCCAAGTCAACTGGTTCTCAGCTGAAGAATCCACCGGCACTCCCATGGACCGGCCCCAGTAAAAGCACGACCCCATCCCCTGCCAATAACAGGCTACAAGGAAGCGTTCCCAGAGCTGCAAACAGTGATGCACAACAGAAAAAAGAATCTGGAGAGTTTGGCTCATGAGAAGGCAGTAGTCAGCAATAGACATGGATGAGTGTCAGAGTTTTTGTACAAAACAAACAAAAAGCAGAAGGCTCTTGCTCTAATGTGGCAGTAAATCTGAATGGGAAAAGGTGACATCTTAACCTGTAAGCGAGAGCCCCTTTATCGCCAGTCAGTTGTCTGGTGAACAGTGCTTATAAACAGTCCGTACATCTCCACACCACGAGTTATTGATAAACACACACCACCTCCTTTTACCTTCCCCGAAGCAGCAGTGCGGTCTCCCCGATGTACAGAATGTGTTTGTAGCTGAATCGTGGAATCTGGGACTCTGTCAGAAAGCCAAGTCTCAGTGAGAATTAGAGCACAGCATTCTCTGATTTTCCGTTGTGTTGTATTCCAGAGACTGTATGTTAGCAAGGAAGAGGCTGGGTAATGGCTGTCGGGTAGCACGAGCTTTTAGCCTAGCATGGAGTCCTCCTCGCCTGCCCCATCTCAGGGAGCCCCCGGAGCACTGACTCCGTTTATAGAAATGGGGCCAGATCTCACCTGTCGGATCTAGGGGTGCAGTAAAAAAAGGGGGCATACTGTTAACATACTTTTTTTTTACCTTGCTGTTTTATGTGTTTGAACATTTGTTATTTAAAGCTGTCTTCTTAATTTTCTTTATGCCACAGCCTCAGTGGAATGTCAGTTTTTGTATTGGATCTTTACTGTACAGTTTAGTGCAGACATGTAGATTTAGTGTTTGAACAAAACTAAACCTACATGAACATTACAATACTGACTATGAAGTTTTTGAACTACAAACTGTTAATTAAACTGTTCATTGGTTTTTTAATACTCCCCACTATGAATGTCTGTTACAGACAGTGGGTCCGACAGAGAGAAATGAGTGAAATTGGACTCAGAAGGCAGATCATGATACACTTCAAAAAAGAGAGCTTTATTGAGCAAACAGTTTGACTGGCTACTAGGTCTACTAGGTGAGAGTCTGCGCTGGCAGTTTGAGGAGAATAGATGGCGAGTGTAGACAGGCTAGTGGAGTGGAGCTGGGGGTGAGGCAGGTGAGCAAAAGACCCGTTTGTTCAGGAGCAGCCCAGGAACAGGTGAGTGGCAAACACAGGACAGTGGGGGACTCACTCAGCATAAGGGACTACTGGACACAGGCCTGATCTGGGACACGTGGAATACAGGGTGAACCTGCAGAGGGCGAGGGCGACCAGCCATGGCATGAATAACCTGGTCTATGCAAAAAGGACCCAGGGGGCTAGTTTGCAGGTCATGCCCTTGAGCAGTATGTGCTCTGAGGATATGTCTGTGCAGATTCTCAGTCATCCAGGTCCAGATTCTCCGAGGGACAAAACACCCAGACACAAACAGTGATGTGGTGTATGCAATTAAATGTAGTCAGGAGTGCAATGACTTGTACATTGGTGAAACTAAGCAGCTGCTGCACAAACGCATGGCCCAACACAGGAGGGCCAACTCCAGTGGACCAGAGTCAGCAGTCCACCTCCACCAGAAGGACAAAGGACATTCTTTTGAGGACAATGAAGTCCAGATCCTCTCCAGAGAACATCTCTGGTTTGAGAGGAGTCAAGGAAGCTATTTTTGTCCAAATAGAACACATGGGCCCCACCGAGGCGGGCGTGTTTGCGCGTTTCACTCTTGAATACCGGCTTTTTCTTCGTTTTCTTCCTTTTTGTGTGTTTTTTACTTTTTCTGCAGTGCACAAATGTCATGCACTGCTAACATACAACAGACAGGCATTGCTGGATATCGCCAACTCACACAGCCACTGGGAATTTACTGGTTTCATACCACCGGAGTTACAACTCATTGTCCGCTCCGGGGACTAGCACTAAATCTACAAATAAATCTAAATAAACTGTACAGTAAAGATCCAATACAAAAACTGGCATTCCCCTGAGGCTGTGGCATAAAGAAAATTAAGAAGACAGCTTTAAATAATAAATGTTCAAACACATAAAACAGCAAGGTAAAAAAAAGTATGTTAACAGTATGCCCCCTGACCTTTTTTTACTGCACCCCTAGATCCGACAGGTGAGATCCAGGTCCCCCCTCCCCTTCCCGGCCACACACACACACACACCCACAGTAGTTGTATTCCAGATGTGAGTAGTGTGTGTTCTGTATTGCCCCTCATTTTGTTGTTGATCTCCTGTGGCAACTCAGAGGCATGGTAATAACAAAAGCAGGAAGAGAACCATCATAAATGTAGAGATCAAACACACACACAGTTGGCTCTAACTCCAGTCCTGAGGTTCTCACTCTAGCAGAGAGCTCATTAAAATGTGCAAGAAAGCCCTTCTCATCTTCATGCTCTCTCATCTCTCCTCTCCCTGTCCCTCTCATCTCTTCTGTCTCTCCCTCTCTCCTTTCTTCTCCAGTCTACTTTTTCTTTCAATACGCTCTCACACAATCTCTCTTCATCACTTATGTCACTCTCTCCCACTGGTGCTTTCAGGATCCACTCACTAATTTGGGATCAGATCACACTATCAATACAAAGTTCCAAATATGGCTTCAGCTGTACAGCTGATCGGCATGCATGTTGTGTACTTGAAATATGTGTGTGAATGTGTGTACTGGGGGAGGGTGGCTTTGCTTTAATGAATGGTTGCTGGGTAGAACAGGAGGTGTGAAGGAGGAATTTGTTAATTATGAATGGAGCACTTCCTTCTAGATGTGAACAGCATACAGTTTGTATGTGCATGTGTGTTTGGTTTGACATTTGTGAGAGTATGGTTAGCATTATGTGAGGATGTGTCTTATGACTGATAATTGCTGATTTAAATCTGCAGACTTGCTAGTGATGGAATTAAATAATAACCTTCACTTTGGTGCTCATGAGCAATGCATTCGGGATAATTCAGAGCAGGTCAGCAGGATCACTCATTTTTAAATTAGAACCAGAGGAAATCCCACTCTAAAGCTGAGTTTTCATGAAATATAATGTAAAAGATGGAATTTATCACACTGCATATGAACTCTCTATGACCCTAAATTATGTGGTAATTAAATTATGCTTCATGTTAGTTTGTTACAATGTGAAATAAAAAGCAGTTTAGACATAAACATAGATGACAAACATAAATAAAACAAGCAATTTTGAAATCTGAATATTATCAGACAACTAATGTATGTATAGAGGGCATCAGCAGCTTAGCTAAATAAAATGTTTCCTTTATTCCTTTTCTTCATCAGTGTGGTTCTACCCTATTGTTTCTAAGATTATGGATTAAATCACTTTGGAGAATTTAGCATCCACATTTTAATTCGAACCTGGGATTTTTTAGTGTTGGATAACAATATTGATCTGGTGCATAACATTTTGAAATAACACAGTTTCACCCTCTGCATTTCACTGTGCAAGCCTTTGTCTCTGGAGGAAATCCTACTTGGCTGCTGTTCCTGAATTTTCCAGTGTGTACATTTCAGTGACAGTGATTATGGTTTTCTCTAGACAAAATATTGTAAACTGTATAAGCCTTACCTCTGTAATATGAATCCAGTGTTTCACTTTTTCATTGACTTTTCACTTGTACAGCAGCAGCACCAGCTCTGAGCACCTTGTTTGGAAGTTAGCACTGTCTGCCATCACTTAAGCTGACCTTAAGTCGGGGGTTAGCTTTTTCCACATGGATCACCTCCGCCTTAAAATAGAGTACTGTTTACAGTTGCAGGTTAGCTGCTCCTGAGCTCTCTTCCAGAAACACGCACTCATGAGTGACTACTTTATTTGGACAAAGCCAAGGCAGTGTGTAGTGTCTTCTAGAGGCCAATCGGTGCCTTGTGTAAATACTGTCTGAATGTAAAAAGGATACAAAGGCTTGGTAGTTTTTCATCAGTTTGAATAATACACCACTTTGAACACCAGTTACTTTACACAGCACTCTAATAGCTGTAGGGTAAATATTGATCACAGCTTTGTGTGGTTTTGTGGTAAATATGCAATAAGACTCACATATGTGCATTTCATCATATGAACTTGGCTGTTTTGTGTGTCCAGGGGCAACCAGAGATATCGGTTCAGCTCTGACCAGGATGTGTATGAGGCATCGCAGCATTGAGGCCAAACTTCGTCAGTTCACCAAGTAAGTTCATGTCTTTCCTTTGTTCTTCCTTCCTTCTCACTGTTTCTGTCCTCGTTGACCTTCTTACTTTGCTCCTTTTGCTGACCCTACATTATATCTGGTCAGGCTTTTTTAGAAATGAAAATGATAGAGCTAATGTGTTCTTCCATCTAAAGCTGACCTTGTTTTTAGGGTTATTATTTTTAGGGTTTAGGGACAAATATTTGGTGAGGGTGTTTGTCAACTAAGAGGATTCTGTGAGCAACATTACTTTATCTGTACATGTTTTAAAAATGACTAAATAAATACAACCATTGACAGACAACTCAGATCAGGGGAGGTGACAGTGGTGCGTTGGGTAGAGCAGTCGTCTCCAACCAGAAGGTTAGGTTTGAATCTTGGTCCCGGCTGTCGAAGTGTCCTTGGGCAAGATACTGACCCCCCCCGATGGTTAGAGCCATCGGGGGGGTTCAGTATCGCCACAGATGGCTGCCTTGGTTCTGTACCAGAAACAAATTCCTTGTGTGTAACATACTTGGCCAATAAAGGTGATTATCTTTATCCTTATTATCACTCTACAAACCTCACCAAGAGTATTTTTTCAACCACTGTTTGCCTTTTCCTTCATTCTCCAGGTGCTTTAATGACTTTTCTACAGCAAAATCTATTTACACTTATGATAATGATGATAAAGATCTATGGCCATGGTAATGACAATCCAAATCTAAAAGCAACTGAATGTTTGCTTCACTAATTCTACACTTACTGTTTCTGTGAGTACGAATATCATGCACAGAATGTGCTGTATGTATGTGTGGATGGGGAACAGTGTTCCACATGCAAAAATTATTAAGTGGAACGAAACATGGACAGAATAAATACAATGATCTCATTCCAGATGTATAGTATTGCCTCTCATGTTTAGCGGGGCTTGGTGGAATTTGGAAGGGGGGGTCACTACATCATGGAAATATTTTTCCAAGGATTGATTTTATGTGAAACAAAGCAGTAGTCAAGTCAAGTCAAGTCAAGTCAAGTCAAGTCAAGTCAAGATTTTTATTTGCCATGTATGCATAAATAAACAGTCTAGGCATATAGGAATTCTTGTGCAGCTCTGCTTTGGAATCAGGTAAGGAGTCAAAAGCCAGAAAGAACACTTAGTCTTAAAATAAAAAAGTTACATAGTTAGTTAGTGGCATTGTGTCTAAATATTATGTTAATTGGTCTCTGTTTCCCTTACAGTGCTTTGATGGAGAGTTTGATCACTCCACTCCAGGATAAGATTGAGGACTGGAAGAAAACAGCCAACCAGCTGGACAAGGATCATGCCAAAGGTACAGACACACACACATCACAGGTTTGATACTATCCATCCATCCATCCATCCATTATCTATACCACTTAGTCCCAAACGAGGTCAGAGGAGGGGCTGGAGTCAATCCCAGCTGGCATCGGGCAAGAGGTGGGGTGGTTTGATACTAATTCAGGAAAATAAATAAAAATAAATAAAGTTATTAACATTATTATATCAACAATCATCAAGAAAACTGGATTGTCACCATTCATGTTACAACATAATCTACCAGAAAGGTGTGCTTGGACAGTTCTGGGACATCATTCCATACCATCATCACAACTTGTGGAAATCAAATTTTGACTGACTGCAAGTTATGATGTACTTTGCTGATACTGTTGTGTTTATGTTCTTTTGTGTTACAAAGGGCCTACAATGAAATAATAGATTAGGATCATTATTAGCTATTAAGCATGTAACTGAACCATATGCAGTATGTTATAAAAAGCAATGAATCCATACAAACAGGACAACAATGTATCAACTTGTGCTGTAGTATTTCAGGGAGGAAGTTACTTGTTGCTGTGTTTCCTCACTTTTTAGTGAGGAACTGGTACATGGACAAAGACTAACATATGTTTTATTTTAATGCCTTTTTGCTATCTGGCTCATGAGGGGAAATGAAGCCTGATTCTGTCATGAGCTGACACGTACATTTTATCATAGAAGAACATGACTTGACAATTTATGACTGACTGATGAGTTTCTGAATTTATGTTCAAATCAGAGAGGATCACCAAACATGTCCGGTGTGAAAACATCACAAGATTTGTCTGTGTGCATTATAATAAACTCATCTCATGCTTTTATGTAAATCTTATTGATTGCAGATCAGTTGTACTGATAGCTTGGATTGATAGCCGCAAACCAAAGATAATGCTGATTTGATTGAGATCAGTGTTTTCTTCCAAACAATGAAAAGTCTGTACCAGTGAGCCCTTGGTTACATACTGTAGCTTCTGGAAGCATTTATGCTTAAATGCAAAATAATATAAGTCCACACAGGGAGCTTTACATTTCTGTTACTAAAGCTTATCTGTTCATCCTGTTTGAAGAGTACAAGAGGTCACGCCATGAGATTAAGAAGAAGTCATCTGACACCATAAAACTACAGAAGAAGGCTCGTAAAGGTAACAGCAGTCTCACAGTGGCAAATCTCACTTATGACAGACACACTGTAGGGTCACACTAAATGTCAGATTCATTTTTCAGGGTTACGCAGACACCATCTATTCTACTAACATTGGTGGCATTTCTGTGTAGCTCATGTGCTCTAGCTGTGGATGCATTCAGTTTGTTTTTACCTCTGTTATCTCTATGATGTCACCAATGCCGATAGTAATGATAGTGAAAGTTAAACCAACACCAACGACAATATTCCTTGGGCCAAAGCTGGATCAAATGTTGATTTATGGTTTGTATCTGGGGTCCATGATAAATTGACGATTCAATGCTAACGCACACATGCACAAACTTGAGTCATTCACAGGAGGTCAGGAACCATAGACTTAATACAGTCTAAGCCAAAAGAATTCTAGGTTTATAACGCCATCTAGTGGTCCTTAGCATTGTTGCAGGTCTTTTCTCATTTGTCCTGAAACATTTCACTCAGTGATGCAAAAATCAGAATCAGAATCAAAAACAGCTTTAATCACTAAGTATGTTGAGCATACAAGGAATGCTCTCAGTGTGTTTTAGGCAATAGACAGTAAACAACAGACAATAGAATAGTGCAGTCAAAGGTAGGGGAAGCATGGAAGAAGGAGGAGAGGCAGTATTCATAAATTCTATATACATAGATACACATTTTGAGCTATCAGACTGGTGCATGTAGTGGTACTATTTACAATCACTGCACTGCAGTGGTTGCCAAATCCTGTTATTTCAGTCACAGTTAACTGTTCATCAGAGTGATGGCCCGGGGGAGGAAACTGTCCTTGTGTCTGGTCGTTGTGGCATACAACGACCTGTAGCACAATCCAGATGAGAGGAGTTCAAACAGGTTGTGACCAAGATGTGAGGGGTCTGCAGAAATCTCCTCTGCTCCCTTTTTGACCCATGAGGCATACAGGTCTTCCATAGAGGGCACGCTGCCATCTGAACTGTCCGCTGGAGTCTGTTCCTGTCCTGTTTGGTTGTTAAACCAAACAGGACAGAGATGGATGAGCAGACAACAGATTTGATGTTTTCTCTGAGGAACTGTATCAGCAGCTGCTGCTGGGGCAGGTTGAACTTCCTGAGCTGGTGCAGAAAGTACAGTACATCCTCTGCTGTGCCTTCTTGGTGATGGTGCCAATGTTGGATGTCTACTTCAGGTCCAGGTGGGCCAACACCAGTCTCTCAAAACACTTTATGACCACATACGTCAGGGTTACAGGTCTGTAGTCACTGAGACTAGTAATGGTGGGTTTCTTGGGGACCAGGTTGATGGTGGGGCATTTGAAGCAAAATGGGACTTCACACAGCTCCAGTGATCTGTTGAATATCTGTGTGAAGGTGGGGGACAGTTGGTGAGTACAAGCTTTATGGCAGGAGGGGATCATGCTGTATGGACCTGGTGCCTTCCTGAGCTTTTGTTTTTTTAAGGAGCCTCTTCATAGGCTGTCCAAGGTTGGGGGGGAGCTGCCTGTTGTGGTTCTAAGGTGAGGTGGTCCGGGGGTGTGGAGCTCTGCTTCTTAAACCTGCAGTAAAACACATTCACGTCATCTGCCAGTTGATGGTCTTCCAAAGCAGGGGGTGATGGTTTCCTACAGCTAGTGATGTTTTTTATGCTTCTTCTACCAGACAAACGATTGTTGGCTAAACACTGATTTTTCAGCTTTACAGAGTAGCTCTTCTTTGCTACTGTGATCTCACTTGTCAGTGTGTTCCTGACCTGCCTGTACAGGATCCTGTCCCCACTTCTGTAGACCTCTTTGACAACACTGCTTGAGTTTAACTGTGAACCAGGGCTTCTTGTTGTTGTATGTGCAGAAGGTCTTGGTAGGCACACACTTTCACAAAAGCTGTTGTATGATGTCACAGTGTCAGTGAGTTCATCCAGGTCTGTATATGCAGCTTCAAGTACACCCCAGTCTGTGTAGTCAAAGCAGGCCTGTAGCTCTGATTTTGCCTGCTCACTCCTTCTCTTCATTGTTTTGACCACAGGCAACGCAGCTTTAAGTTTCTACCTATATGTTGGGATGAGATCAGAGAGACCGAGGGCTGCATGTGGGACAGAGTGATAGGCATCCTTTATAACATTTATAACCCTGTAGCGGTGGTCCAATATGTTTTTGTCCCTGGTGGGACAACTGACATTCTGTCTGTACTGGGGCAGTTCATGGGTGAGATTTGCTCTGTTAAAATCCCCTAGAACAATGATTGGGGAGTTGGGATGTTTCTGTTCCATGCTAGTAATCTGGTTGGCTAGGTGCTGCAAAGCATTGTTAGTGGAGACCTGGGGTGGGATATAAACACCAATCAAAATGAATGAGGAAATTTCTTTCAGTGAATAAAATGGTCTGCAGTTAAGAAATAGTGCCCCTAAGTCCAAGTTATAAATATTTCCTTACACTGACATCTTTGCACTACCCTTGTGTATGTAGAAGCAGATTCCGCCTCCCCTTGACTTTCTGGTTTTCTCCTTCACTTGATCCACTCTGTGGATCTGGAAACCTGGGAATAAAACAGCCTCATCTGGGGTCAAGTCATTTAGCCACAGCTCATCAAAGCATGATGCTGCCAATCCAGAGAGGGTCAGAATTAGTCTGGTTGATGAGAAGCAGTTTGTCCATTTTGTTGGCTTGATAGCAGAGGTTCACTGGATGGATAGCAGGGAGCAGTGTTTGGAGGCCCCACTGCCGTAGCCTGACTAGGGTGCCGGCTTGTTTTCCCCTGCGTCACCTCTTGTAGGTCCCAAGGATCACTGCTGCTCTGCTGGCCAAAATATCCAAAGAACTTACCACATCCGTAAAAATGGGAGAAAAGGTATTCAGAATGAGCGGTCAAATGTTCAAGAGCTTGTTTCTGGTGAAATTAATCCGAGATGGGTTGCAAGAGATGGTCAAAAAAGATTAAAAAAACACATGGGGGCACGCAACCAAGGCAGCCATACATGGCGCTATGATCAAACTAGCTTTCACTTAGTTGCCAGGTGGATGAATACATAAAAGCAAGAAGTACATTTCAAAATAATGTAATATATTCTGACTTTTGTTAATGACAACTCTGTGACTGTAATTCTGAATACAAGTCATGTAAAATATATATAAATAAATAAAAATTTAAAGCATAAATTGAATGAAATCATTAAACTATGCAACAATATTGAAAATAAAATTCATTCAGTAATACAACATTTGGTAAAACTGACAGTTAAACAGTATAGTGTCTGTTGCTGTTATGTTTACAAGTGTCTGGTTAGCCCACTCAGAGTCGATGTTTGGTGTTACTGTTATTGCTGGATGTTTAGTAGTTTTTTTTGTCCTTTTTTTGGGTTGCAGCAGTTATTTTGCTCTAACCTGTGGCATTGTGGCTGTCCTGTGATGACTTCCTTGTACTAACGTTAACAATGAGTTTTGCTATTTCTCCTCTTTCTTTCTCTTTCCTTATTTTGCTTTCTTTTTGTTGTCTCCCCTTCTCACTGCTACTGTCTCTGTGTCTCCCCCGCTGTGGTACTTGTCCCCCCGTAATAGAGATCCAGGGTAAGTATCAGCCTATCATTCACTATAGCTTTGCAACATCATCTCTTTTATTACTCACATTCCCAACCTCTTGCAGATTACTAAACAAGCATGTATAAAATGGAGATTAAAACCCATTTTGTTCAGCATATTACTAAATGTGAGATACAAGGGTCCCTAATTATCATGGGCGAGCTGTGCCTGCATTGCAATATTTAGTAAGTAATTATTAGTTTGTGGTAACTTGACTACCTTATACATTTATTTTGTGAAACCACATAAGCACAATATACTGTAAAACAAAATAATAATTTATTTAATCATTTATTCAAGGGCTTTCCCTCCAAGATGCAGCCTGAATATCAGGTAACAGTGCAGATGTTGTTGCCATTTTTGTTTAACCTTGAAACACATACTTCAGGTATTCACAGGCCATACACTATTGCAGCCCATCTAATTCCTTCACTTTGTTCAGTTAAGCCATGAGTCCCTTTATGTTCTATCAAAATAGTTTTAAAAATAATTGCTTTTCATGTTTTATGTTTCTTTAAACAAAGGTTTTTGAGGTCTTTAGAGACCCAGCATCAGTGGTGGAAGAAGTACTCATATCCCTACGTGAAAGTAACAATACAATAGTGTAAAGGAGATCCTGCATTCAAAATGTTACTTAAGTACAAAAGTATTAGCATCAAAACATACTTAAAGTACTAAAAATAAAAGTAGTCATTATGCAGAATGGCACATTTAACATCATTTGATTTAATTATAATTACTGATGTATTATTGTTTTCATTACATTTAATGTTGCAGCTGGTAAACAGGGAGCTAGTTTTACCCAGAATATAAGATTATACTTATATAATGTATAGATAATGAATGGATGGATAGCATGTGAATTTTTGACCAGAGATAATATTGTAATTTTTGTATTAATCTGGTTCTAAAAAGTAAGTAGTAACTAACTAAAGTAAAAAGTACAAGATTTGCTTCTAAAATGTAGTGAAGTCAAGGTTTGAAGCAACAGAAAATGTAAAGTTTAGATACCTGAAAATTGTACTTCAGTACAGTACAACACTGCCCGCACAGGTGGCTTCAAAATGTTTTCTTATTGTTATGTCCTAAAGGTCAAAGGTCAGTGTTTATTTGTCATATGCACAGTTAGGAAACGTGTTTCCCTGTACAATGAAATTCTTACTTTGCTGTCCACATTAATGCCACAAAATACAAGTGAAATATAAAGTAAATGAGCAATAACAAATCTAAATAGGCAGTAAAATCACAAATCTAAGGCATTTTAAAGCAGCGAGTGAAGGAAGGAAGCAAATAAAAACACAACAAGAACATTATAGAAGAATAAAAAGTGGGCAAAAGATGTGAACTTAAGTCTCAAATACAGAGGGACTTGTTGAAAAAGGAGTGACTTAAATACTAAGGGGCCATTGTACATTGGAATTAGCAAAGGAATTAGTTTCAGAAGATACATGTAAATATGATGAAATTATTGAAAATAAACACATTTTTATTGTTGCACATAGATACCTTCAACAGTGGGTCAACAAAATAAGGGAAGAATGAATTATGCAACTTAAAAATAACAGAAGTTATCAGTTTTTGTTTTTTGGGGTTTTTTTGTACCCCTCATACTATCAGTCAACATAAAAGGATAAAAAGGTTTCTTTATGTTAGCTTACTACAGTTCTAATGTGACAGGTTAACTGCAAAGCAACACTGTCTTTGGGGTTTCATGCTAGTACCTTTGAAAAAAATAATCATGTGCCTGAAACAGCTGCTGACAACTGTATTTTTGTACCAGCACTGTATGATTATAACAGTGGCAGCTCAGAGGATATGAGCTTGGCTGTAAAACTGTGAACACCATGTTGCGAGGACCACAAAACATTAACTGTGGTTACTCTGCAGACTAATTCATATTTGCTAAGAGCGAGACAATAGACAATTTCAAAGTCATTAAAACAACAGTTTTGAAAGTAAGATTTTTTTGAACATATCAGTGATTAAAAACAAATTAAAGGCAAATTAATTATATGATTTACTGATTCCAAAGTTTACAAGCAAAGTTATATTAGTTTTTAGCTCAGTCTGTGTTAGACAGTTTTTAATTTTACATTTAAGGGTTAAAATGTGGTTCTGTGGTCCATACAAAATTAACATATTGATGTGCAGCTAATTTTATTACCACAAACTAATTGCTACTTCTTGAACCTGGAGCCTCTGGGCCCTTGGGTAGTTGTACACTTTGCTCACTGGGTAATCCAGCATGACGTCATCAATTAATGTACCAAAACCTTATCAGAATGATCTTTTTTTCCATTGAAAAATGAAATTGGCTACTGGATTTTTAGAAAAGTAGTTGCAGCACTACAGCTCCTAAAAACATTTCACTTAAGGTTTTGTCTCCTTGTGCTAGACTAGAGTTCCACTTCAGCAGTTTTATAGTTTGAGGAGTTGGAGTCTTGCGGTTTCACCCTGACAACACATGATGTAATTTAAATTCTCCTTCCTTGACTCCTGCATGACGTCTGTAGCTGTTACTATTAGCTTTGTAGTCACACCACCAGATTTCATTCTGCTCTCATGCTACCCCTCCTCTCCTGTTCTCTTTTTTATTCTGCTTCTGTCACCTCTTACTGCAGACATCTCTGTTGACTTTTGTGCATGCTGTAACAATACAAAGTCATTTAGTGACTTCTTTTATATTGATTGCATTTCATGTTTTTTCTGTTGACAACAGATAGAATTCAGATTTCTAACACCAGATTTATGTACCTACTTTTTGTCATCAACTCGTTTCTGTGAAATTGCAGCAACTATCATATTTTTAAGACAGAAACTATTATTTGTGCTTTGGCTCATAACATTTGGTCTGGACGGACAGAATGACAGAGAGGGAACACCGCATACTCAAAGACATTTTAATTCACGTTTTATGCATACACTTAACCCAAATATTTGTTGGCACAAGAAGAGACCACAATGTGGGGGGAGAGAGAGAAAGAGACCTGCATTTTTTCCTTCCTTATGAGGCCAGTGCACCGTTTTATTGTTTCAAGCTGCCATAACTGCTAAAATATGTATTATTTTGGTTTTACCGTTATGCTTCATTCTTATTACTCCTATTCATTTTGGCCACAGCAGGGAGCCATATAAAAAAACACAATGTATCGTACCACACCAAACAAAAGACAAACAAATGTAGGAACTAGCTGGTGAACATAGTGGAGCATTTAGCAGCTATTTATATCTAGTGAAGGGCAAAATAGATCTATAGACTTATATGTCCGACGGACACATACACAACTCCACATGAATGCTAATGTTGCTCCGTGACAGCTGGATGCGTAAATAGGCAGTTGTTTGTTGACAAATTTGCCATAACAACATAAACGAGTTATGTCTGTGTCCCAAGAGCTCAATCCTGATCAACACCAGAACTACAAACCCTTCTCAAAGTTAGTGTTGCCAAATATGAAAGACGTATAGGATGTTAAAAGAAACCTAATTGATTAATGAATATTATATGTCTTATTTTTTCATATTTTACATTAACATTTTTTTCCAGATGCATACAAGATGTTATTGTTGGAACACTGCGCTGCTGCAGATTGTAAACATAAACCAGGTAATGACCAATGTTGGAAACTGCAATTTGTCTTAAATATATACAATGAAAAACTACTGTTACACCCAATAACCATATCATCACTGTGGAAGAGGTTTGATTTAGACTGTAGAGATTGTTTGTAATAATTCCACAAACTGTGTCGCCTGACAAGATACTTTTGTGTCATCATATCTACAGTATCTTACTTAACAGCCATAAAGCTGCCTCGTGGCTATCAGGATAGACTAGCAGCACTTTGATTAAAAAAAAAAAGGTCAAGGCTAACTGGACATCTGTTTGGAAATCTGGGCAGAGATTACCCAGCCTCAGCTCACTGAGACTCGGAGAAGCAAATGATGTAATAAAGACCAAAGAATACTGCCTCTTTGGACTTATTCTGTATTAGTGGAGATTTTTTTGTTTTTTGTTTTTTGTTTTTTTTGGTCTTTCCACATTTATATATACTGTTACATTAGAGAATTCACTAAAACAAGAAAAGAGAAGAAAGTTAGTTCATCTAATATCCTCAAAAGGTTGTAGAGTTGTTTGCAACAAAATTTAAAGAGATTTCCTCTTGGCCATTATTAGGGGCTAGATTTGACTTGAAATTAGGGTTGTATACATCAACAGACGCTTGATTGATCTGACGTAATTGACGCGGGAGTAGATTCAAATCTTTATGAGGCCGTTTTGCTTCCATATACATCAACAGACGCTTGATTGATATGACGTAATTGATGCGGGAATGATCGCAGGTAGCCAATCGTTCGGTAAGGCAGCTGTTGCGCTGCATTATGGGATGTATAGTTTGTGTGTTATATCATATACTTTATATCGCCGGGCCTTTAAAAAAAGATATATAAAATGATTTCGCGGGCCGGATGTGGTCCGTGGGCCTTGAGTTTGACACGTCTTTTGTTTAAATGTGATATTCTAACATTTAACAATACAGGACAAAATTGATTTATGTCATGTGGGTCTAGACAAAGCATTAAAGTCATGAAGTTATTTTGAAAAGTGATGGCCTATTTCAATGGCAAAATAAAAAGCAAACAAACCGAGAATCAACTGAAGAAAGTTCATTTGCAGTTATAAACGTATTTAGGTGTTTTTTGCTCACTTTTTGTCTCTCCCATGAGGATATTCCTCTCCTACAGATTCCATTACAGTTACATGCAAATTGACTATTATGCAAATTAGGTGATGACGTCATATAGCGACTTCTAGCGACTTCTAGGACAGCCAATAGCTACTTTCCTTACTGAGGAGTTGGCAACACTGCAAAGTTATCCTTTTGGTACACGGTCAGATAGGTCCTCTTAGCGACTTCTAGGACAGCCAATAGCTACTTTCCTTACTGAGGAGTTGGCAACACTGCAAAGTTATCCTTTTCCCACAACTTTTAGAAAAAAAATACCAGTGAGTAACTTTTGGATTCCCAAGAGGTAAACAACTTTGTTCCTTCAAAAGCATTTCTCCACACTCTCTGTCATGAATGACAGATTGCTGCAGTCAGATCATAGTCCAAATTATATTCAATACTGTATATA